GTGGGGGGGGTGGCCCCTGGCAGGCCCTGGCTGGTACTGGCATCACCTCCACCTGCCCCCATTCCCTGGCCGTCTCCCCAGGTGCACCTCGGTGTCCAAATTCGTCCTTCGTGTAAGGACACTGTCACAGGGGCAGGCCCACCCTAGGGGCTCCCATTAGTTTGGTTACCTCCTTGGAGACGCTGCTCCATCTAAGGCCACAATCTGAGGGACAGGGACCCCCGACTGGCCATAGGGATGGGGCCACCATTTCAGCCCTCCCTGGAGGGATGCCCCAGCACACCCAGACAGGCCCCTGCAGCTCTGTCCATCTGTGGTTTCTGCTACTGCCTGGGCTGCAGCCCCACAGAGGGGTCCTGTGCTGCGGAGGGGTCCCATGCCGTGGTGATGTTGCTCATTCTCATCCCTGCCCAGGGGGCTGGGCCTGTGGCCTGCTCTAGGAAGGCCATCCGTCTCTCCCAGCATCCCGCTGCCCTCAGAGTCTCGCCTGAGCCTTTGATTGCCCCTCCGTCCTTCTCTGTCCAGGAGACGTTCCCACCAGACCGGCCTGCTGCCCCTCCTGGCTCAGGGCTGCGTGCAGGTGGACTTGGCCTTGGGGAGCTGCCCAGCCCCTGAGCATGCAGTGAAGTGGACAGTCCCCTTGCATCCGCTCGCCTCTGTGTAGGCCACTGCCATTCCCCCATGCTGACAGTGGTGGGTCCCCGGGGTCCCCATCCCTCTGTCAAGGGCCAGCGCTGCCGATGTTCTAAGCCTCACAATTCCGCCCCTGGCTGGAGCACTTCTTTTCTAGAAGCTTCTTCCAGCCTGCTGTTCTGTCCCCCTCATCCACATTTCCCAGGAGGTCGTCTCCCAGTGTGTCCTCATCCTGTCACCGTATCCACTTTGCCAGGTGCTCAGTGCACAGGGACAGTCGTTTTGAGATTGAAAAGGCACAGACAGGCCATGGGGCCAGGGAGACACCTGCCAGGGTGGCCCAGAGCCCAGCTCGGATCTGGGGGTGGCGGGACGTGAGGAGAGAGGGAGGGATGGGCTCGAGGTCATGGCAGAAGTGGCCACTTGCAGGGTCTCCCCGCAGACTTCATCGACATCGTCAAAGACCCTGTGCCCCCCAACGAGTATAAGATCGAGGAAGACCCCAAGCTATTCCGATCGACCAAGACCCAGCGGGGACCGCTGTCGGACAACTGGATCGAGGAGTACCGGAGGCAGGTCTCCCCCATCATGTGCGCCTACAAGCTGTGCAAGGTCGAGTTCCGCTACTGGGGCATGCAGTCCAAGATCGAGCGCTTCATCCACGACACCGGTGAGAGCCCGCCGGCCACCCCCACCCGCAGCCCGTCCTCGAGTGTCCGCTGAGCACCGCGGGCCACAGCAGTGTCCGTGCAGAAGCCGGGAGGCTTCTCTTTCATAATGTGGAGCCCACTCCCCACTCGGGCCTCCTGCTCCAGCTCCCGGACGTCCCCCAGTTAGCCCCTGGGGACAGCCCACCGGGGACATGGCTCTTGAGACCCAGAGCCCAGGCCCAGGCCCATGGCTCTGCCTCCCCCATGGGCTGGGTGCTCCAGGGGCAGCATGTCCTGGATATCGGAGCGTCCTTTGCACCCACACCGGCCTGCTCAGAGCAGATGCCCAGGGAACAGGTGGGCTAATAGCACCACCCTCACCCAAAGCTCTCAGCCCTTCCAGGTCAGGTCACTCCTCGGGTCAGCCCCAAGGCACCCCTGAGGCTGACCCTTTGGGATGTCAGCAGACGTGGACAGACCCATGGTGTTGCCGGCGTGCTCACGCCCATCACGTGGTTCACACAGTGACCGGGAGGGGGGGCACAGTCTCCCCAATTGCAGAGAAGGAAGCAGAGCCCAGGGCTGGGCTGCACCCCGGCCTGCCCCTGTGCCAGCCACCCCATCCTGAACAGATGTTGTGTCTCCGCACCAGCAGACGACGTGTCTGCTTAGACAGTGTGTGTTCGGAGGGGTCAGTGTGCCACCGGGGCCAGGACTTGAACTGTGGTCAGCTGTCCAGGATCCAGTTCCTTTAACCACTGTACTACATGGCTGGCCCAAACTTTTTTTTTTTTTTTTTTGCTATAGGGTGCATATGCTCTCCAGAGACAGAGAGAGAGGGGAAGTGGGGAAGTGAGAAGTCACCCTCCCACGGGAGTGAGGGGGGCAGAGGATAGCCACACTGTGATGCCCTCTTGGCATTTTGGGCATGCACACACACACCTGGCATGATTTTCAGGCCACTGGGTCCAGGACTCACATCACAGTGGACCGCGTGGAAATCCAGCGCCTTAACCACCCACCACCTGCTGGCCCACCGAAAGCATGTTTTTTATAAAAAAGGAAAAGCAGCCCAGTTTGCACTGGAACTTGACTTCCTATGGGAACCTGACAGGAAAACTACAAGACGCCAAGACAGGGGACTCGGGAAACCCCACGCTGGTTCCCCTGGGGCAGGCACCCTCCTGCCCCCATTGCCTGTGACTCCTGAGCCGACTCCTGACCGGGAGGCCCGACTGTAACGGGGGCACAGTGAGCTCACACGGCCCTCCGCAGGCTAGCTCTGGAACTTGACTTCCTATGGGAACCTGACAGGAAAACTACAAGACGCCAAGACAGGGGACTCGGGAAACCCCACGCTGGTTCCCCTGGGGCAGGCACCCTCCTGCCCCCATTGCCTGTGACTCCTGAGCCGACTCCTGACCGGGAGGCCCGACTGTAACGGGGGCACAGTGAGCTCACACGGCCCTCCGCAGGCTAGCTCTGTTCACAGCCCGGAAACCAAGGCACGGCTGGGCAAGATTTGAGCCTGACCCGTGGGGGCCTCCCGCCAGGGGCCCGGGTGCTGGCTCTGACGCTGCCCCTGCCCCTGCCCGTGCAGGCCTGCGGCGGGG